AAAAAAAAAAAAAAAAAAAGTTTTCATTCTATCTTAAAGAGAAAATGGAACTTTTCAAATTGGGAAATGTGTTGAAAAGATAAAACTTTTTTGCTTTCATTCACTCATGGCCTCAAACATTCCATGAAGACGATTCAATTTCATTCACTTTCACAGAGATACTTGTTGGCAATAGAAAACAGTACAAAGTATTCAGACCAACTTCTTAAAAATGAATCATCAGATCCTAGAAAGCTGAGAATTTATGTGTGGCATGTTGCTGTCTAAAAGTAAAAAACATTTTAATATAAACCAAGTATATTCTATTTTTATACTATCCTCAGTACTTCAGGTTCAAAGAAAATAATTTTATTAAGAAGGCTTTAAATATGATGGACTTGCTAATCATTTACCATGGGTATTAGTAAGTAGAGAAATCAAAATATGGTTTGGAACACTTAGTTTGATTTACATGCTTGTTTGTTGGCTGAACTGACATTGCACTCTTAAGGCACAGCTTCACCTGTGTTTCCCTCATTCAATTTATATTTTTAAGCATTTGCATTTAAAAAATTGAATGTGATAAGCAAGAACTTTACCTGGGGAAAAAAACATGTTCAGGAATCACCCTGCTTCTCCTATTCAATTTGTTGCCACTAATACTTATTTAATATATATTTTTTTATTATCATTTTATTACCATTTCTTTTGGAGCTGTTTTAATACATTTATTTCAGTGTTAACCAGGGTGGAAAAGTTAAAATATAGCAAGGCTATTGTGCTTTCTTTAACCTGCCTGGTTGCCAGGGAGGAGAATAAACCTCTGCATATCATGATTTACCAAGGACTATAAATGTAGTTTAGTAGAGCAGGAAATTTCTGCAGTTCTTATAGTTGCTGAGAGTTTAAAATACATATTTACTTTCAACTAAATACATTCTTTTGGTCCTCTTCAAGGTAATATTAATTTAATGTAAAAATGTATATTTAATATTCACTATTTTGCATAACTTGCATTCTATCTTATGTAATGAAATGTAACTAGAAGACAACGTTTAGAACTCTAAAATATCTTAAAAAAAAAAAAAAAGGCAAACCCATTTAAGCCTAACATCATTTTTTTGTCTCTTTTCTTTAGGACTTTGAAACACTGTTTTCATCGATTGCTCTCTTCGAAAAGTTTGGAAAAACTTATTCCAGCACTGGACAAATAGTGTAAATGTACTGAAAACTACAAACTATAAGACTATGAAAAGTAGTCAATAAATTTATTTCAGCAAATACACAGCAGCATGGTGACTGAATGTCCCAAAAAATACTCTTTGTGTGATGTATACTTTGTCTGAAGTAATTTTAATTGATTTTGCTTGAAATTTAGGCAATATGGCTTCCAAGATTTATCAAAATTATTTTTTTAAAAAAAGTATTATCTTAAGGAAATTATTTCTGCAAATTCTGTACTTTGTTTAGTATAAATAATTTGGGATGCAAAATCAGAGTCATCAAATAAAATACTTGGAACCACATTCATTTATTACATGTTTGTAAGTGAGGTTAACAGTAGAAAGAAAAAAGTGTAAAATTTATCTGTCTTTTCTTTCCTCACAACTATAAATGTATCTGGTCCATCACTGTTGTTCTTCATCTTCAGTGTTAGTATCCTTGACTGATCCATGACTTCAGAAGTGCAGAAGAGGCATTTACATGGAAGATATTATTTAAAAGCCTGTTAGTAATTCTGTGGATGAAAGAACTTAAGTTTTGAAAAGGCAAAGTTCTGAAAACATAGATACCTTTATTACTAGGTCAATTTCTCTAATTCCATTTAATTTTATTTATCAATACCTGCACATTTACTCCTATCCTGTGTGCCTTGAGTACAAAATAGAATGATGCTTGGTCAGAAGAACACACTTGATGACACAAAACTGATGCTTATTTCCTCTGTTCATTAGCAAGCAGTCCTACAAAATATTGAGTATCCTCAGAGCCCATCCACTTCATAAGTCGCAGAGAATTCAGCATCATGGGAAGATCTCAGCATATCTAAAGATCAAATTATAAGTTGGTTCTTAAAATCATGTGAGAGAATCTTTACAGGAATTTAGTGCTGAATTTTCTATGATACCATATTTGCTTTTTATATCATTTGAATATATTTTAAGCAAATATGTCTGTTCATCTCTAACTCAGTAGTAGGCTTTTTTTTTACTAGTTGTTTTTTTTTTTTAAATGTGATTCTTCTGGCCTCTGTAAATGTGAAGAAAACTTCAATGTCTGTATGAATACTTTCTGAACCTGGTGTAGTGGAAGATGTGCCTGCTTATGGTGTGGAGGTTGGAACTGGATGATCTTTAAGGTCTCTTGCAACCCCAGCCACTCTGATTCTATGAACTAAGAGTCACAAATTTCCCTTCTATAGGTTTTCATCTCTCAGCCTGTGTGAAAAGGTTTTACTGCTACCACACACCAGAGTAAAAGCCCTTCCAATTCCATTCCAGCAGGTTGCAAGAGCTGTACTGGTATCACTTTTTGGAGTTTGTTATTTTCAAGCTTTAAAAAGTTTATTTCTGTTATGAGAAATTAAGTCTGGGAAGCAGGAAGCAGCCACCCCAGTGGCTGAGTTTCCTAGGTAAGATTTAATCTGATCCAATGTATCAGAGTGCTTCAGTTGTCCCTGGAAGGGACTGAACACTTCAATGAGACACTTGTGCAAAACTGTTGATGAATAAAGATGGCACAGTAATTTTTATATGTGAGAGCTATCTATTTGATTGCTTCAGCTTTCAAGTAGTTCATCACAGTAATTCACCCTGTGTTGCCTCTTTAACTTCCTACTGCAGTTTCCCATCAGTCCGATTAGAAATGGCAATGCCTTTATCAGATTAATCTTTCTTTCTCTTTCTTCTTTCAGTATCTCTGACCCCAGGACAAAGCAAAGCCTCCCATGCAGTCTGTACTGCAGGGTGGTGGTGCACGTGGCTGAGGGACCAGAGCACAGGGGGAGATTAAACCCAACACTTCCAGTTGGAATTGTTTGATACACACACACCTTTCCTCATCTTACCAAAATAACCCCAAAACTTTCCTATTTCTGAGCAGATAACCAGAAACATTCTTACACAAAACCAGGTATGTTTACTTCATTAGATAAATAAACACCCACAAAACTAATAAAGTAGCAAACATATTACCTGTGGGGTTTGGATTTTGGGCATCTTTTGCAAATTGCATTTCACAGGGAATCCAATTTTCTTTATCTGGAGTTCAAACAGAATTTGTCATTCATGGGCCTATAGCATCCAAATTATTTTGTCTGGCCACAGTATTATCCCAGAACCCTTTTATTTCTCATCAAATACATTCAGCACTTACATTTACACAAACCACTTGATAATTATTCTAGAGGGACTGTTTTGCTTAAATTGAAATGTTTGCATGTCGCAAACTTACAGTTTTAACTAAAGCCAGTTAAAGCTAAAATTTTTACATTTCTGTTCACTGCAGTAATAAAATGAACAAGACAGGAAGAAATTTGATGGTATCATTGTGTAACCAACTGTCAGTATAAATACTGATTGTGTGAGTGGTCTTACTTTACTCCTGTGTAACTTTCTTCCTGATATAGTTTATTCTTCTGTTTTAATTACCAAACTGCTTTTTCTAGTATATTTTTCTAGTATATTGTATTTTTACCATGTTATATATCCTGTGTTTTCCTTATTAATAAAATTATTAGTTTAAAGTAACAGTATTATTCTTAAAGTACAAAATCTTAACACACAGAATAGCACCAGGAAATAAGGAACCAAGAAATGAGCTGAGCACTCTGAAAATTTGTAAGGGACTCCTGAACCTTGAAGAATCTGCAAGACTTATATCCTCTTAGAAATGTTGTTGGCTATGACATTTAGCAGAACTCTCACAAGAGTACCTGAAAATCAAAAGAATCACTGTGATGGTAGGGAAATAGACAAATGTCAGTCTTGGAAAAAAAAGAATGTACTGAATGTATTTCAGTTAATTGTAGTCAAACAAATGTGAATAGTAAAACATCCATAGTCAAACTCTAGCAAAGGACCTGATTGCTGTTGTTTGTAACAACAAAATATGGCCTTCAGCATGCAGCAAGACAAGAATGTTCCTTCCTTGTCAGCAGCAGAAAGGTAGCTTTTGTAATTTGAACTGATTTAGTTCACATGTAGAGAGGAGAATAAAAAACAGAGTTTGGATTTTTCCTACTGCATGTCTGCAGAGGCTTAAAAAGACCTCTAGAAAACGGCCTGAAGTGGGAAGAGCCCGTCATAACAGCTCACTATCAGAGCATCTCATCATGTATCACTTAGATATTTTTGTCTTACACTCAAAAAGCCTGGAACATAATACTTTGATGGCAGTTATATCTGAGAAATTTGTATTTCTCATTTGATCATAGATCTTGAGAGTCAAATTGTAATGTTATTTGGTTTGTATCAGGTGCATGGCCTACATGCCAGGTGCAAAGCATTCAAAGCCTCTTTGTACCTCCTTACTAACAACCAATGATCTTTGGATTCAACCACCTGTGGGGATGGCAGTGCTCGTAGAAAGATGCAGGCAAAGTCATTAAAAGGGAACAGCTATGTGCAAAAATTGGTTCACAACCTGTCTCATCCTGAGAAGCTTCAGGTATATTAGAAAATGTCTGGTAACATCTATTCTTACCAAAACTATCTGCTATTGCTCAGCGGATTAAAGATCCTTCAGTATTGCTGCCTAATAGTTTTTTTGACTGCTACATAGCTGATGTTGTAAACACAGCAAAATCTCTTAATTTAGGCAATTTAAGAACTGCCTTCTGGGCTGATCCAAGATGTTCTCAACGCTTGCCAGGGAAAACATTTAGCTTGCAATGCCCTCTAGAGGCAGATTTGCCATAGTAGTGGTGGTGCCTGCAGATAACGCTCTTAATTTTTGTTTTTAAATTTTTTTAAAATTTTTTAATTTTTTTTTTGTTAACCATGTCACATTTCTATAGGACCTGAGATCAAGAAATATTATGGGCTCTGCTACTGATCTACATGCCTCATTCTGGACTTGTACTGCAGGTGCTTCCAACTGAGATGGGATCATATTTAAACTGCAAAGTATCATGGTGATGTTTGCAAACAATAATGGATTTTTACACATCAATGGTTGACATTGAATAACGCTCTGAAAATATCCAAATTAAAAATATTTCTGTTATTTTTCTGATATAAAAATCAGCTTATTGTTATTGAAAAGGATGTGTTTGCCACGTGCCTTCCATAAATCTGTGGCTCTCGGTTTAATGAATTTGGAAGTTCTGCTTAGTTGAATGAGGTTCTCTGTCTTTTCCAGGCACCCATGGGTTCTTATGCACAGAATAGCAGAGACTGAAAAACAAAGGAGGGGCATAATTCCTTAATATCAAAATCTGGGTTGTCCCATACTAAAACAGAAGCACTACAACTACAAGGGAGTCACATCCATGTAATCTGAAACACAATTTGAGCCTTGAAACTTTTATTTGTCTTCATTCATAAATTTTTTTTTTTGGGATTAATTTTCTTTCACTGGTTGACAAAGCTATCTGGTAGGTCTGGAAATATGTCAGCAAAAAGGCTCAGGCAATGCTGGCTTGGCTTCATATTCTTCCATCTTTTAATAGTTCAGCTCATTAATGAGAAAATCATCTGGCTGCTGGCACAATCAGATGCAGTCACTTATCAGTACATTGAGTTCAGTTTATAGTACTCCGATTCATATTCATGATCAGAGGATGCAGTGGAGCAATTCATTTGTGCGCTGCTGCATTAAGCAATCAATGCCAAAATGTGACATATTGAGAGTTTGCATTAAACTGCTTCCTTTGAGCATCTTTGAGTAAAAAAACCTCCTAAGTGCAGAAATTTGTTGAGATAAATCACTCAGCCACTTCAAGAAAAATGTTGAGATTCCATATATGTAACATTTAGTTTAAAAAAAAATCCATTTAATGTTGTTATTGAACATGACATGGTTATGTCCTAAAATGCAAGTTTAGATTATTTTAACATCTAATAACATGTACAAACTAGATCAGAATTATCCCAAATTGAACCCTCTTTCTTACTCTTAATTTATTTTTTTCTGTCTAGTGAAAATTAATGTTCTTGTTTTGGCTGAAGATACTCAACAATCTCAAAACCCCAACCTTTTACATTCTGTATGTCATGGTACAAATAAGGGGCACTTGCAGTCTGGACTTGCTCACAATGATTCAGTTTTTAGGAAGTGAAAGTGCTTATAAATTTGAGAGAGATATATCTTGTGCACTATTGTGAGAAGAAGGTGAAACCAAGTTTAGTCACCTTCTCACTTATTCAAAGTTTGTAGCATGTTACAGTGGTGATTCCTTGTCCACGTGCTTCACTTGATTCCATCAGATCATTTTCTATTGTCAATTTGTATCAACTTTTCTTCAGATTTATAAAGTCTGAGCAACTCAGTAGTAAGAAAAGAGAAAGAAAGAGAATGAAGGAAAAGAAAGAAAGAAAAGAAGGAAGGGAGGAAGGAAGGGAGGAAGGAAGGGAGGAAGGAAGGGAGGAAGGGAGGAAGGGAGGAAGGGAGGGAGGAAGGGAGGGAGGAAG